TTTCTAGTTTCAGGACAATTACTTGTATGTAAGTGTATGGATCTTTATGAAATTGTACCACAAGGTTCCATATCACAAAGGGAAAGCTTGGTTTGAGTTTGGGGGTAATTGCCCTAAACGTTTAGGAATTTGGGGTCAAAAAGGGGCCTAAAAACAAGCATTTTTCTAGTTTCCAGACAATAACTTGTGTTCAAGTGTATGGATCTCTCTGAAATTGTACTGCAAGGTACCATACCACAAAGGGAAGGCCGGGATTGAGTTTGGGGGTGATGAATCATAAAGGGGTTCAAAAAATTTGGGGGAGGGATTTTTTTTCTTTAAAATTTTCCATTTTAAATTGGTTATTTCTGATTTATATATAAAAGCAAATAATAATGATATGGTTTGAATAGGTAAATTAAAAATTTTTAAGTTCTTAGACCACATTCATTCTGTGTCAGAAACCAATGCTGTGTCAAATATTTAATCACAATCCAAATTCAGTGCTGTATCAAGCTTGAATGTTGTGTCCATACTTGCCCAACTGTTCAGGGTTCGACCTCTGCGGTCGTATCAAGCTGCGCCCAGGGAGCATTTTATTACTGTTTTTGTCAAGCCTGCAATTATTTTGTTGCAAAAGCGATACATAGCGATCCTATAGTCTATTAGTGTCTATGTTGTCAACATTTAGATTTAATATATAATTCTGTGCAATACCCACAGGCACTAGTCTCAGAAAAAAAAAATCCTATATACCTTAAGGTATGTAGGAAAAAAAATTTCTGAGACAAGTGCCTGTGGCAATACTAATGCGCATTTTCCCAGACATATACAATTTATGTTGATGCATTCAAAGAGCATAATCTCAATTTCATAAAAAAAAATGAAAGACGGAGGAATTCTACTCCATGCAAGTTTTCTGAAATAGCCTTTGCTGTGATATTTTCCAGATTGAAATAGCTGCGTCTACTCCCTATTTCAAGCTCTAAATCGTTCCAAGTGTTAACAGGTTGTTAATGAAATAAACAGATTAAGTTCCACAAACAACAACTGCTGCAGAAAGTAAAAAGGCAATTGAGAAAGAGATTTCTAACCACTTCTATCGATTGTATAATAAAAGAGAGGTGGAGGATACCACAGGGATATCCAAACTATTAAGTTTACATCCAACTGACACCATGATGATGAAAAACGACCAAACGACAATTCCTACAAAACAGAACAGAAAACTACAGACTTAGCAACACAAACCCCACCAAAAAAGAATAATAAACGATACAGAGAAAAGGCTAATGATGAAAATCAGGCAAGAAAAGTTGATTTGCTCAATAGGACATATATTACAGTAGACAAAACAATCAAGTTTAGTAGATCAGATTGAATAAAAAAAATAATTGATTGATTAAAACTTACATTTGCTTAAAGTCCTACAATTTTGAGCATTTATAAACTAAGTCCTTAGTCAATTAAGAATGGAGTTGAGCCCAACTGCCACGTGCAGGATTCAAACTCACAACCTTAGTGCTGAATTTAAAATTCGATGAAATACTCGAAACTAATAAAAAGATAATGGACAATATTAAACCGATTTTGAAATCCCAAGTTTTGCCTAAAGGGTATAGTACACATGCAACGGGTTGTTCTAGAGAACAGTAAATTTTATATTAACACATTTGATCTTGAAATCTTGGATGTATCGATGAGTGGATGAGCCTCCGCAGAATTAGCAGATCTCAAAATTCATATTATCCTAGAGAACATTTTACAATGCTTTTTAGAAACAAAATGGTAGTTTTGGGACTCCTAGGATAATAGCCGACTAGATTATCCATTCAAGACACATAAAGGAAATTAATGAGATGTTTATAATATAAAATGTATGATGCAAATGAAATTATTAATCAAACAAATAATTCAGAAAGGAAACATTTGGATGACTTTTAAAGAAAAGAGACCAACCATTAGTAATGTAGTCAAAACCCTCTATTCCGGAGATTAAAAAAAATATGAATGAAGCACTGGCAACTTATTTCATAAAACGCTAAATGTTCATAAAAATATTAGAGCTCTTAAAAGGCAAAAACACTTATTATCTTTATAGCATGGATCGATACCGCATCTTTGACTTATTCGAACATACTATGATACTGAGCTTTCAAGACAGGCACATTTAGGTGTCAGACCACCAATTCAAAATGCATATCCGAAATTGTACATTTATCACCTTTCTGCATGCCAATTTTCAACCAATGTTAAAAGTCTTAAAGTGAAACATGACCGTTCAGAAGGAATTGCTACTAAAAATAACCCCTGTTTTTCTCGAAATTTTGAATAAGTATACTATGGAGCACATGAGTCCTCACTTGTTAATACAAATTCATTGACAAGTAAATTTTGGCTCAAAATACTCTAAATATGGGGTGCCTATAAAGTACGAAACAGAAATAGAAAACGAATGGAAAAGAAACGAAAAGAAACAAAACGTAACGAAAAGAAAAGAAATGAAATCAACGAAAGAACAAAACGAAACGAAATGTAATAAATTAATTTGATTCACATTTCATTCATGAGGGTTTATGACACTCATCCCAGTTTGATTAGCTTTTCTGGCCTAAAAGGCCTTCTGAGCTATTACCGTCACTTTCCGTCCGTTTGCCCGTCCGTTCAGGTAAATTTTACACATTTTTCAGATGCATTCTTTGACTCTTATTGACAAATCCCCCTTTGAAACTACACAGCGGATGTAAACCGAATTTTGTAGAAATTGATAAAGCACTTTTATTACACGGCATATTTCTTTGTCAAGAATGAAATACATTTGACCCACATTTCATTAAAGTTGATCTGCAGGAAATACATTTCATTAAAGTTGATCGTTATGCAGATGACGACGGATTTGTTTCAATTGTCTTAACCTCAATTCCGTCCTAGGCCTCTTTCCCTTGAATGTTACATCACCGAATGAGACTTATCACAGAATTTGTACTTGCATGAGGGGTGCCATATTATGTGAGGCAAGATCTGCTTTCCCTTCCAGAGTCCTTGAGATTACCCCTGTTTTTGGTGCATTGGTTCACATCAAGTTCGTGTTGTTCAGTCTTGAGTTATTCTTTTTGTGTTTTGCTCACTTTTGTCTTTCATTTTTTGCCATGGCGTTGTAAGTTTGTCTTCCGTGACTTGTGAGTTTTCATACCCCTTTGGTGTGTTCCGCCTCTATTTAGAAGATAATAAGTTGTCATCAAACAGAATGGTTATAACCGCTTGAGTAGTCTCGTGGTAATGTGCTCGTCTCAATTTGCAGGTCGTCGTTTCGATACCCGGCTTGAGTTCGACCGCACGTGGCAGGTGTGCTCGACTCCAGACTTAATTGATTAGGATTGTCAGTTTCCTCCCGAAGGTTGGTGGTTCTCTCCGGGCATATATTATAATATATTTGATTTTTTTAATTTCATTTGGTTTTATTTCTTTTCGTTTCGTTGCTTTTTGTCATCTTGGGCGGATTGGGGTTTGAATGAAGATCTCCGATAGACTATTCAATGCATTTACTTCTTTTGTGGACTCGGGGCAATATACAGTTTATATATAGCATTGACAACTTTCTTTGGTTGAAACCCGTATGTTAAAGTCTAAATAATTTTTTCATTGTTTTTTGTGTTGTTGGTTGCTGTCTCGTTAACATGCAAACCTCTAATCTTTTATTATAAAGGCTGATTTAATAATATGACAAGACCAGGATTCAAGACGTGCAAATGTCTGTAATTCCATGCTTTACCTGTCTGATTTTTTTGTTTCCTTTGCCCTGAATTGTTTTCGATTTTTTCATATTTATTTTTTTTGTTACTTTTGGCTTTTCGTTCTCTTTTGACTTGTGACTATATTCATTCATCATACACTAATATGCAATTTTGTTTTAGTCAAATAATTTGCAAATTGTATTATGTAACCGTTAAATGTTTAACATTTCTTACCTATATAACATGTTACTTTTATTATTCTTCCCTTAGTTTATTTATTTTGTATTCTAAATTATTTATTTTGTAAAAATATTTCCTTTCTCTATTGGTACTGTACACGTATACCTAACAACAAAATTATTTTCATTTACCTGTGTTTAAAGTTATTGCAAATGGATGGTATATTTGTTCGAGCATATTGTTTTTCTTTAATTGTTTAACATTTCTTACCTATATAATATGTTACTTTTATTATTCTTCCCTTAGTTTATTTATTTTGTATTTACATTGTGTCATAGGTCAAATTTATTTGTTCAGCGTATGTTCAATGGTGTTAATATGTCCTTTGATTGAGTTAAGCTATTTCAGTTGATATTTTATAGTGTGTCTTTCTATGTTGTGATGTTACACTATTGTTTCAGAAAAAGGGTGAAGGTTTGGTACCATTAAAACGTTTAAACCCGCTGCATTTGTTTGCACCTGTCCTAAGTCAGGAATCTGATGTTCAGTAGTTGTCGTTTGTTGATGTGGTTCATAAGTGTTTCTCGTTTCTCGTTTTTTATATAGAGTTAGACCGTTGGTTTTCCCGTTTGAATGGTTTTACACTAGTAATTTTTTGGGGCCCTTTATAGCTTACTGTTCGGTGTGAGCCAAGGCTCCGTGTTGAAGACCGTACTGTGACCTATAATGGTTTACTTTTATAAATTTTGACTTGGATGGAGAGTTGTCTCATTGGCACTCATACCACATCTTCTTATATCTATAAAGCGTATAAAGCACGAGTCAAAAAGGACAAGCTCTTAGCGATAAATAAATACTTGGATTTATATATGTCTTGTATTTGCATACTTGTGTCTGAATTTGTATGACAATCCCGGATCTTGCATGATATTATTAATCCCTTTGTAAGTTATAAATGGTTAAATTTCATATTAAGTTAATCTCCGGATATTATAAATCTTACCCCTCCATATTCAAAATATACTGTTTAAGTAGTAAACATGTAGTAAGATGTCTTTAGGTCAAGAAAAAGGAGCAATTATTGTGATTGACTGAGAAAAGTGGGCAATGCAATTCGATAACACGTCATCACGTCTTGCAGAACTAAATCATGCGCAAGCGTTACGAAACATTCCGATAGTCGTGTACCTTGGATTAGTTGGAATCACAGGATGTATTGGAAATTCTTTAGTGTTTTACATTTATGCATCAATTTATACAAAATTAAATTCCAGAATTTTCTTACTTTTTCTTGCTGCAATAGACTGGAGCACTTGCGTCATAGATATTCCATTGGAAATCATTACTGTACTTAACGAATACAATTTCCAAGATACGTTGCTATGTAAATTTTCAAGAACAGGAAACGCACTAACCACCCTTTACGCTGGTGGGGTATTGCTTGCAATAGCAGTTGACAGATATTTGAAAATATGTCGCCCAGTGGGATTTCAAATTTCAAACAGGACGGCCAAATTACTCTGTATTGTGTTGTTTTTTGTTACACTTCTTCTCGTATGGCCTGAATTTGTTATGAATGGTTCGAAAACTGTTGTGATCAAAGGTGAAGGATTAAATGGAACGGAGTGTTCGATCGAAGATGTTTATCAAAAATCAGCATATCCGACTGTCTTCAAGTTTCTGATTTTTATTCTATTCACCGCAACGTTGTCAATAATGATTGTCATGTATTGTCTGATCGGGAGAAAGGTGAGATTCTTTGCCTACAAAAATGAAAGACGTGGCAGCCAGTCTAAGTCTAATACGTTAGATAGCACCGAAAACTTAGGCGATGTTTCTAATCTAAAGAGGTTACAGCGAACTGAGAACTCTAACGCCGCTGCAATGAACGAGTATGTTCATGTGTCAAAGAGTAATAGTAAAGATATTGTAAACACGACTTATAATAGCAATGACAGTATTGATGATTTTAAATCTATGGATTCACAAACATCCGAGATCGGGACAATTGAGAGAAAGAAACCATTCAAAATCCAACTATCTACTACCCAACTGGATCAGATAAAACGCAGACGAACGTTGGCACGAAATACAACATATCTTATGTTTATTGTAACGTTTTCATTTATCATTGCAGGTCTGCCTTACTTGATTCTTATAATTCTAAACAATGTCATTGACAATTTCGTGTTAAATATGAATCCAGGTGGTCGGGTCGTATATGGTTTCTTCTTGCGGTCATATTTCCTTGGTGCCACTGTGAACCCTATAATATATAGTATATTTGATAGGAGATTTAGACATGCATGTAGAAGAGTAGCGAGAACATTGAAATTAAAGGTCTGCAGAACAGAGGAGCTTGATGTTTAGTAAGCATAATTCATTACGCATTTGACACTCATGACTTGATATGTATTGTACTTCTTTCTTTGTAAGGTGACAATTATGATATTAGAAGGATTGATTAGAATTTTGAAAATAACAACCATATACACATTATTCGAATAGGGCAGTGTTTTATTCTTAACTTAAGTTTTAAATAAATTGTGGGACTTCTTTTCTCCTATTCGAAGATAAGATTTTTTAATGATCAACGATGACGCTAAATGAAACTAAATAAATTATATTAAAACACCAAAACAGACGGAGTTGAACATGAGGAGTAACAGCCTGTAACATTTCTTTTCCTTTTCTACATTTGGATTTTCCATTGACTTTTCCACGAACATTGCTAAAATTTTTCCCTACATTATTATGACATTCTTATGTGAAATCTACACATATGAACACTAACTGATAAATAAAGAGTGTAAGAAGGCCTGAATTATCTTTCAACATATAAAGTACTTTGAACATACCATTAGTATCTTCGAACTTTCTTTAAAGCGGTTATTTCATACAGGAATTTTGTTTTACCCAACAGTGTTTTTTGTGTTTTTAAATGCCTTTATCATTCAGATGAGTGTTTATTCTGAATTAATTTTAATATTATTGACGAAAGTGCATTTTCTGGTTTGTTTTATTTTACCTTTGAACCGTTTCAATTTTTCTTCCACATATTCAGATTAATCGAAGATTTAATGCTCGTAACTAAACTTATTGTCAAAATCAGTCATCTCTTTAGTGGATGTCCCCTCTTATAATAATGACTATTCAAAATTTGGTTGTGTTAGATCTTTAGTCGTGTTGTTAAATTAACTCACGACTTACCTTACTGTGAAAGAAGGCAAACGATGTATTAATTCATGACTGTCACAAAAGAATCCCTATACAAACCCAAACCTATAGACAAACCCAAGTGCATAAAAACAGCGCTTTTATAACCATTCCTGTATAAATAAACTCATCACAGATACCAGGATTAAACATTTGTACGCCAGACGCACGTTTCGTCTTCAATAGAGTAAAGCATTCAACACGGAGCATAATCCAACACTTCACTGGAACTAAACGATGGTCCTTCGTGTCGTTTTGAACGGCATTCTTTGTTTGTGCTGACATTTTTAAAGAATGAGAAGTGGAAAAGTTGAACCTACAAATGTGTAAACATATTCTTGGTGCATGTTACTTTACTTTGTACAAACATAGCAGTCCTTTCAGAACTTATGTGATATCCATAAGATATAGACTTTTTAAAGTAGAACTTAGGTTATACCCATTAAATATAGACTTATCAAAGCAATACTTTGAATTTATCTTGGAGTTCGGTATTTTTGTTCTTCGACTGTTATAGACTGTTTGAGCACGTTTCCAATGTCCTGATTAGTTAAGCTTATAAGCAAAATAAATATGGCAAAAATAAGTAAAAAAATCATGGTACTCAAACATACATTTTTAGATTGAAAACTGGATATTAACATATCTATTTGCAATAGACGGAGAACTGCGATTACTCTTATATTGGTGCTGTGTATCTAATGTTTTTATGTTATTTGTTTGTGTGCTTGGTGTTTTGGCTGAGTGTGGATTCACATTGCGTGTGAAGCATGCATAGCAGGAGACGCTTACCTGTCGACACACCCGGTCTCGATCCTTTCTGTTGAGTTCGTGCGATTCTCTCGGTGTTCGTTTGTTATCTTGATTTGTCTTCTTAATCGATTTATTAGATTTGAACACCGATTGCTCTTATTCAACAACGGAACAGTTTTAACTTCATTTAGGCGGAGTACATAAGCCTGGGTGTAAACACTCGGAGACATGAACGAAAACTAACGAGCCTAGGATAAAACTTGAGTTGCTGTCCAGATAAAAGGCTATGTAAAAACTGTTCCTATACATGTTACTTATCACCGTTGATATAGATTAAGAAATTATTATTTAACTAAGGTTCCAACTCCCTCAGGAAAAGTTGATCTTAGATGAATTTGACTATTCTGTTTATGTCCCTTTTGGACATAAAGCTCACAGCGTTATTACGTATCTATACAGCACTGGTATTCAGTCATTGATGAGTCTTATGTAGACGGAACACCAATCTGAAGTAACAAATTATAAGCCTGATATATTCGATGAGTCTCATGGAGTTCAAGAAAAAAAGAGATAAAATTTATATTTAGAGTTATCCCTTTTTGTACTGGTTGTCTACTCGCCTTTACGTTTGTTTTTAATCATTAAGTATGGGTGTATATGTTTTAACATTATAATAATTTATATGCTCTAAATGGGCCCAATACCGAAATGATTAAAATTTAATTTGCAAGAAATTGCAAAATGTATGCGAATTTAAAGTTTAAATTGAGGCAGTTTACCGATGTTCAAATCTCATAAATCGATACAAATGAAGGTAACACACGAAAACCTAGGAACAGCATGATCTCTAGAAGGACCGACCAGGTGTGATGACAAGGTAAGTGTCCCCAGCTTAGCATGCATCATCCGCCATGCTAATCAACACTCAGTCAAAATGTCACCGATCAGGTATAGAAAAAAATCGGTAAAATTCGTATCAGACAACTATTCTGGTATCTAAAGTTCTGCGACCGCGAAAACATGTCGCCAGTCATCACAAGAACAATGTTTTGATTGCATTTTTTCGAGAATATATTTTAACGCATTTTGGCCGAGTTTATGAATTTCAAAGTCGGGCTGGTGGTGTAGCCAGTCAATTGAGAAATTCGAGTCCCTTTTTGTAATTATAACTTCTATATTTTTCAACAATGATTCCTGATCCTTCACAGAAAGATTGCACACATATTGAAGTAGTTCACCTACTATTAAGAAATTGTTTGAGTGACTGTTTCCAATTTCCAGACTTTAGGAAATTGGTAGTTTCTAAAAAAAAATTATTAAAGACGGTACCAATTTTGTGTAATCAAATGTTCCTACAGATTTCGCACAGATCCTTGAAACTTCACAGAGATATTGCACAATATTATAGTTGCTATGATGAAATTGTTTCAGAAATGTATCCTTTTTTTCCATACTTCGGAACTTATCTTTTTTCAGCAGAAAGACAGTAACAATCAACTCCTCCTGGAGTCTTTAAACAAGACAAAGTGTTTGCACAATAACTGATGTTCATCAACTCTATTCATACATATTTGGTCTCCATTTTCACTCTCTACATTTCCATACAAAAATGTTATTTAAAAGATTATTATAAACATTTCCTTTAGTTGGAGAAACACTATGTGCCACCTGGCCATTTCAGTTTTTAGTTTCATTTAAAAACATAATCAAAGTTTCAATAAAATCATTGTTTAGGTAAAAGGAAAAACGTCATATCTTACTTTGCACCAGTTTTACACCTGACCATATGATGCATAGAAATTCTAGTCGGGTAGTTAATGAAATAAACTGATATTAAGTTCAGAGATCAGCATCAATTGCGAAGTGCACAAAAAATACAACAATTAAAGAGGTTTATAGCCTGTGGTGGGCAAGTATGATGTAACAAATTCAATCGATGCAACAATAAAGAATATAATGAACATGTTCACAACGAAAATCTTGAAAGACCAGTGCTTTACTAAAAAAAACTATACTACTTAATTAACAATCAAGATTGGAAAATAGCCACAGATTGAAATAGGATTGCCGCTAAAAGTATTTAATCTGTTGAAATAAATACATGCTTTTTTTAACATTCTATCGTTGACTGTTATACTTCTAAATAGATTTCATACATGAAAGTCATGAAATAACGTTAACTTTCACTTCATGGATTATTTTAATTATGTTGTAAGGCTTAATTTGTCTTGCTTCCCAATCCGATTGATTTAAGTTGTTTTATTACTACTGAAAATGGGAAATTTTAAGGTTTTTCAGAAACGCCTTTTTTGACAGCCAAAGTTCCTCAAGATGATGTTCAATTAATAAACCTATAGGCGGGCTGAACTAAGTTTGATGTTAATATAAAACTCAGGTTAAGCAAAATGTCATTTAGTCAAAATTTATCATTACTAGAGAATGACATAAACAATATTAATAGTAGCGAAATCCCTGTTCAGAACTATAGGGAAGACAAATATGACTTGTTCAGAATTGTACGGTATATATATAGCTTGGGATAATGCCATTTCTGACAATCGAGATGCAGAGCAAGCCATGTTCTAACCTCTACCGTCCATATAGACGAAAATACATGGGGAAATAAAAAACATATAGTTAATAATAGTCATGTGAAAAGGTTCACTTACAAATTCTAAAATATAAAAACAAAAACAAACAAAGAACAATTTTTCACAAAACACATAAGTATTGGACATGTGGAAGGAAAAACAAATGTAGAGCAAGCCATGTTGACCTCTGTCCAAATATACTAAAATGTACGAAAAAATGTAGAGCCAACCATGTTGACCTCTACTAGTTATTTTAGAATGTTCGACTAAATAGAAACAAATATCTACTACCAAGAGCACAGAATGTTTTTTACTTACACACAAACATTATCAATTCTTATATAATGCTGAAGGGAATTAGACTTCTGTCTACCCATGTTTTGAATCATAGCTAAGGGCACTCCTCTGGTAGCTGCCGAAGGTGCAGCCCCAATTCTAAAACTCTGCAATCCAATTGATTTAAGTTGTTTTATTACTACTGAAAATGGGAAATTATAAGGTTCTTCAGAAACGTCTTTCTGTTGATATAAAAAAACGTCAGTCTGAGAATGACTTTACAAGTAAATTATTTTTAATGAACAGGGATAGCTTTAGTTTTAAAATAGTTTGGTGTTCAAAGCATAAAAAAAGCAGTTATTTCGACAATAACTGTGGGCAACACAAGATTTGATCTAATCTAAAAACTGTGACTTGACTACATTGTATTGTTTGAATGTTACACTTTAAATAGATATTAGTTTAGTGTTTTAGGAAATCATTTCTAAGTCTAATTTATTGTAAAAAAAAAATACTTCCCGTTCTCACTTTATAACTTCCTCTTTGCGAATTGCCAGTGCTCAGCATGACTGACCTAAACGTTGGTCGTCAATGCTTTCTGTTGCAAAACAAATCGGACAGATTTACTACTGAATTATTGTTTCTCAACCAGCATGTGCCATCATGTGTTTTCCTTGCGATATGTTTTGTGATTGGTGTAACTGGGAATGCATTTGTACTCCACGTTTACTATAAACAATTTAAACAATCAAATTACAGATTATATGTGTTATTCCTATCTGGCATAGACATAGTTTTCTGTTTGACAGTGTTACCATTTTACATTTTCAATATTCTTTCCTATTGGAACTCAGTAGATATCGTCTGCAAGTTCGGATGTTTTATGACAATATTTTTGTCATTGGCATCGTTAATTATTTTGGTGATCGTCGCTGTAGACAGATATCTTGTTCTTCGAAAACCTATGCAGAAAAAGATAGGCGAAGTTCACGCATTGAAATGCTGCATTATCGCTTTGCTACTTTCGGGGACACTATCTTGGTACAGCTTCTTAATATATGGAGTTAACAAACAAAGGAACAGCGAGATTCAAATTGTAATATCACAGTGTACATCTGTTCACAATTTATCAAAAATAAACAACTATGTACTTTTAGCGTGCTCATTATTGCTAGCATCGTTTTTCTCTTTGGCATACGGTGGTATATTGTCAAAAATTAAAATCCATGCTCAGAGGTCGTCGATTGGTTCCAGCAAACGTCGAATGACAATCATAATATATATAGCTATTACAGCAGTCTTCTCGATTTCTACTATAATCTCTGTGAGCCTACGCATCGTTAAAGAGACCGTCAATAAATATCAGAATTGTCAAGGTGGATATATAGAAGAATCTGCTTTTATGTTTTTTTCTCTTTCACATTGTATAAATCATGTCTGTAATCCTGTTATATATTACTGGCGTGACATTAGATTCAAGAATGGAGTTAAGAGAACGTTATGTTGTTGGTTTGAAGTTTTGGAAATGTCATCGGGACGGTCAGACACTAATTCTATCAAAAGTACAGCATCTAAAACAGGGGGCAATAGTCAGATAAGAAAATGTGACTATAGTGCTGATTCCATGACAAAGGCTAGCATCGGTGAAGAATCTTTGACAGAAAAGGAAATATTTCATGTGGAACTAACGAATGAAAAAAATAAATTCACTGATGAATTAACATTGTAAATGTCTAGGACAATATTATAACTTTTATATTTGTGTGACAATTCTTTTAAAAAGTTTAAAAAAAAAAGCAATTGCTATCCAGATGTTAATACTTATACTCCTACACCCTGTCGAAACCTTTGGTCATGGTTTTATTATTACGTTTATGAGTTCTTTATACTACATTTGTTGGAGGGGTACTAATTGACATTTTTATCTGCAAGAAAATGGTTTAGATAATTTGTTGAAATTTGGTTTTGAATTAGCTTGCAATATCTGCGAGTACTCTTAGATCGGTTCTTTTTCGGTGGTATAAATTAGACCGTTTGTTTCTGTCTTAAACTGTTTTACATTTTGTCATACTGGTGCCTTTTGTAGAGACAAAACCTATAACGAGAGAACAATAGAAAAGTCACATTTCTATGAAAACTCGACAAACTCAATAGTAAAACAATGCCGATGAAGATAATGATTAACAGTTAGTTTTAAACATCACTCGTACATTTTATAGAAATTATTTGTTAACCGGTGTTATTAGAAATATACATGTAAATACACGATGTTTTATGTTCATTGTCTAGCGAGATGATTGCATACATAAAACGCTTGTGAAACTGAAATTTAAAAGATGTTAATCTTTGCTACATATTGTTAACAAAATTTGATAAAAACATGTACGTACAAACTCAAAGATCTTTCAGGCCATACATTTTCGGAGAGTTCCACATAGTCCTTAGCACGTTACAATTTTCCAAAATATACCTATTTTTCACAACTTATTTTTCCAGTACACCAGTCTGCTCTTGTCAAGTTGTTTCTTTGCAGGATCAAACATTAAAGATAAATATTTTTACATACTAGTAGATAATCCGTTAAACATTGGTACAATTTTAAGACGATGTTGTCTCGATTTTTGTACATGTATTTGTAGTCTTCTCGATATATTCGCATTAAATGTTTACATAGGCATACCTGACTCAAGCTAGCGAACAATTGTAGCGAACAATTAGCTAGCGAACAATTAGCAGGTATAACTAAAAACCACAATATCACATAAGGTTATCACGTTTTTTCGAGCTAGCGAACAATTATGAGAATACATACAATCTTAAACAAATACGAAAAAACTAACTTAAAACAAAAGGGAAACCATACTTCATATATAAAGAATACAAAGCTTTTCTTTCCTAACTAAAAAAAATCAACATAAGGCATTCAATAGACAGCTGGATTACAATGACCATAAGTTAACACATTGACACAATGCATTTTTAGGGAATGGGGGTGCACTTTACGTTGTTTGGTCCGATTAATAGAGATTGTGACAGGTTACGACTATATAGGTGTTCAAGAGGAGATAGTGCCGCATCGTTTAGGAAAATCTCCAAAGTGGTTTATGTTCGAAAATCTTAAATTGTGGTAGAAAAAAACTGAAATTAACAAAATGAAATTAGGGTATAGGACATTTTAAGTTATTTTTTTACCAATTTGAGTAGATTGTTACAGGAAACGACTATATATGTGTTTTGGAGGAGACATTTCCGCATCGTTTAGGAAAATATCCAGACAGGTTTATTTTCGAAAATCTGAAGTTACGGTAAAAAAACTGAAATTGACAAAATGAGATTAGGGGAGTAGGGCACTAAAAGTTAATGTTGAACCAATTTATAGAGATTGTGACGGGCAACGACTATATACTTGTTGTATAGGAGACATTGGCGCATCGTGTAGAAAAAAATCCAGATCACTTTATGTTCGAAAATCTGAAGTTTGGGTTAAACAACTGAAATTTACAAAATGAGATTTGGAGGTTGGGCACTCAAAGTTAATTTTGGACCAATCTATAGAGATTGTGACGGGCAACGACTATATAGGTGTTGTAGAGGAGACATTGGCGAATCGTTTAAGAAAATCTCAAGATCGGTTTATGTTCGAAAATCTGAACTTACGGTTAAAAAACTGAAATCGTGAAATTGAGAGAAATGAAACAGCTAGACGAGAAAATTTAATTCCGGGCAGACCAATTGTATCACTGTGTGGAACGCCCCTACACAATATTGGCACTATATCGATTATTTTCTTGTTCCACTTGTTAAAAAACAATATACATATATAAAAGATACGTCAAGTTTTATTAATTCGATTAAAAATATAAAACCCCAACGAGACTGCTATCTAGTAACATTCGATGCAAAAAATATGTACTCTTGCTTTACATTTAATGAAATACTAGAAGCCACTAACGCGGCACTGACCAATATTGATCCAAGGGAGTATGAAATTAAAGTTCCACCAAAGGACAGTATACTTCGCCTATTAAGGCTTATTCTAGAGAACAATGAATTTATTTTTAACAATAAACTTTACCGTGAAACCTTGGGCTTGGCTATGTGCGGATCGGCATCTGCTGAATTGGCCGACCTTACAATGTTTGTCATTCTTGAAAACGTTTTACAACGCTTTCAGCACAGAAACAAAATGATAATGACTTCCAGATTTAGGGATGACGGCTGGATTATATATTCCGGACCTATAGAGGAAATACACGAACTACTTACAATAGCTAATACTGCACACCCTCACTTGAAGTTCACCTATGAATTTTCCCGTAATGAAACAATATTCTTAGACACTGTCATATACAAAGGAGAAAGATTCTTTAACGAAGGCATACTAGACATTAAATAAAATTGAGAATGGAAATGGGGAATGTGTCAAAGAGACAACAACCCGACCATAGAACAGACAACAGCAGAAGGTCACCAACAGGTCTTCAATGCAGCGAGAAATTTCCGCACCCGGAGGCGTCCTTCAGCTGGCCCCTAAACAAATATTTATACTAGTTCAGTGATAATGAACGCCATACTAAACTCCAAATTGTACACAAGAAACTAAAATTAAAAATAATACAAGACTAACAAAGGCTAGAGGCTCCTGACTTGGGACAGGCGCAAAAATGCGGCGGGGTTAAACATGTTTATGAGATCTCAACCCTCCCCCTATACCTCTAGCCAATGTAGAAAAGTAAACGCATAACAATACGCACATTAAAATTCAGTTCAAGAGAAGTCCGAGTCTGATGTCAGAAGATGTAACCAAAGAAAATAAACAAAATGACAATAATACATAAATAACAACAGACTACTAGCAGTTAACTGACATGCCAGCTCCAGACTTCAATTAAACTGATTGAAAGATTATGTCTTCATCATATGAATATCAGGCACAATCCTTCCCGTTAGGGGTTTAGTATCATACCATCATAACATATATGAGAAGAACATAACCCGTGTCATGCCAACAACTGGTTTTTAAATAAATGTGTTTAGTGCCGATGCAAAGACCCTATAAGTGAATCAATATTAACGCCAAAATATGCAATCTTTAATGACCTGACAACAGTATCGTAACTATATCCCTTCTTAATAAGTCTATTTAAAGGTTTTGTTAGCTTCAGAGGTGAATACTGACATTTTTGTGCTTTATAAAGAATATTTCCATAAAAAATTGGATGTGAAATACCTGAACGTATAAGAAGTCTGCATGTTGAGCTATATTTACGAATGATGTCCTTATACCGATGACAAAATTTAGTAAATGTTTTGACTAGTTTGTGATATCGAAAACCCTGGTGTAATAATTTTTCAGTAATACATAAATTTCTCTCGTTAAAATCTAAAACATTGTTACATACACGAGCGAATCGTACAAGTTGAGATATATAAACCCCGTAAGATGGTGACAAGGGAACGTCACCATCTAAAAATGGATAATTAACGATAGGAAATGAAAAATCATCTCTTTTATCATATATTTTAGTATTAAGCTTTCCATTAATGATATAGATATCAAGATCGAGGAAAGGGCAGTGGTCATTGTTAGTATTAGCTTTATTTAAAGTAAGTTCAACAGGATAAATTTCTTTAGTATACATACTGAAGTCGTCATTATTGAGAGCCAAAATATCATCCAAATATCTAAAAGTATTATTAAATTTGTGTATCAGATGTTGTATCGATGGTTCTTTGCTGATTTTTGTCATAAATTGTAACTCATAGCAATACAAAAAAAGGTCCGCAACAAGTGGTGCACAGTTAGTCCCCATTGGAATTACGATAACCTGACGATATACGGAATCTCCAAAGCGAACAAAAATGTTATCTAGTAAAAATTCAAGGGCATATATAGTATCAAAGCATGTCCAATTGACATAGTTTTTTTGTTTATTGCTACTAAAAAATGACCTAAAAGAGTTTGAACATATATATTCACATTCTGACTTTTTAAATGCCCATTTAATTAGGTGTGTGAATTTTTTCTTAATGAGAATGTGAGGCAATGTGGTATATAGGGTAGAAAAATCAAAACTTTGAACAGATTCAAAATCACCAATATATGCATGTAATTTATCAAGTACTTCCAACGAGTTCTTGACACTCCAAAAGTAATTAATTCCACTATTTTCGAAGGCCTTATTTGAACAATTTATTATCAGGTTTTTGATTGTACCAAGTGTACTGGTAAGAAGAATAGACAATTTAGAAGTGGAACAATGGCTTGAAGACGAAATAAATCTATATTTGTAAGGTGTTTTGTGTAGCTTCAGAAGCCAATACATAGTTGGGACTTTCATTGTATTTGGTTCTGCTTGTAAAGCGGTAGCTAAAAGTTTATGTTTGTTACAGATGTCGTTTTCTGAAAATGGAGTCAGTTGGAATGTTGGTGAATTGGTGATTTCTTTTTTCAGAACCTCAGTCAAACAATAATAATATTATTAGCAGCTTTATCGGCCGGGACAAAAACAAATTCCTTGGCTATTTCTTTTAGTTTATGTTTGATACGAGAAATAGGTTTATTGTGATTATTGTCAAGAGTAAAATGTTCTTTAAAATGTTGAATACGTATATCAACTATGTTCATTACTGAATTAAAAAAAGAGTCCAAAGATTTTTTGTCAGCTTTTTTCCCGTTTTATCCATTTCAAACAGTAAGTATGGAGTGAGTCGTGGATGATATTACGACACTCATTCCAATTAATAATTGACGGGGGACGATATTTAGGTCCTTTACTGAGGAATGATTTTAACTCTCGGTCTTTAACG